ACCTCTCTTCCTTAAAAATTTAAAATGTATGTTTGTTTCCAGGGCCTTGATTTACTTTACAATTTTTCATGCTGCCTGCTTTATTTCAATTTTAATTTTTAAATTGCTGTCTTAATATAGTCATTTTGAATCACAACGTGGGTGTGGGCAGCATAGAATTTTTAAAAATAAATAAATTCTATTTACATGGTGTCATGTCAACAACACACTACACAGATCTGGCCTCTAGGCCAATTTGATGAAGAAACCAAATGTTCAGTGCAATTTATTTCTGTTGCAAATTGACCTGTGAACGTGCCAATTTGAAGAACCTACAATAGGAGTGTGAGTTCAGCCAAAGGAAAATAACAAGAATTGTGAGCTCACCTCCTTAAGTGTTCAGCAATGGTATATATAAAACCCATCTCATAGTGAGCATTATTGCAATGGGGTGGGAGAGTGTAGTTCCTTCCCTCTAACTTCACAGAAGCAGTGCAAAGGAGAAGTCTGGCAGCAGAAGGCTGATTTGAAGTATGGCAAGTTAGAGAAGTTCTCGTCATGCCAAGAGAATGTTTTTATTGCAGAAAACATGCAAGGAGCCATCAAGATTGGATTCAGAAAGTGTCAGTCAATTAGGCAGGAGACTAGAGGCTGCTTCAGATGTGAGGGCTGACTGTGTGGGAAAACATTCCTATGACTAAATGAATAGCTTTCCCCAGAAGGCACAGAGAAGCACATGAATCAATGTTGCCTCTTGAAATCCTTCCCTGGAGTGGCAGATGAGCAGCCCTTGATCTATACTTCTTTCCCTTTCATCTTCTTCAATCATTAAAACCGAAGAGAGTGAATAAAGACACAAAAGAAGGGGAACAGCCTCAGAGTTCTGCACTGCATTTATTACAGTGCAAATGTACATATAAGCTCACATATATACAAAGCAGGACTCAGAGCCCCGCTGAAGCCCTTTGTAGCCACAAGTAAAAATATGAAACATACAATACCTAAACACAATGGTCTGTGCTAATAATTGAAGAAGATAGATATAAGCAGTCCATTCATTCTGATCGATTTAACCCTATTCTAATGGAGAGCAATTAGCATAAATGCGAATCATGGTTTGACTGGCAGTCTCTAATTTCTGAATGTTTATCAGCCCTTCTGAACAGAGTCTACATACATATGACTTGGGAACAATATCTTAATCCATAGGGGACGACTAAAAGCAAGAGCAGCGCGACTCCTACATTCTCCAAGGTTCATTTTATATTATATGCCATCTGAAATAGATTGTATAAAATCCAAATTCACATATATTTTATTCATTGTTTATCTTGTTGGAACAGAGGTGTAGTCTTTTCATTATATACAGCAACCCTGAGAAAAGGAACTTAACTTATGGATGACTTTTTTTTAAAAAAACAACAACTTTGTCCTCCTCAAATCATAGGAAGTGAAGAACAAGGGTGATACCAATAGGTGCTGTTTTTTTTGCCTTCACATTAACTGAGGCAAACATGTGTAACCAACAGCACTGGGAAACTTACCTGACACTGTCAAGCTGCTTCAGAGTCAAGGATGGTGACTGTGTAGAAGTGCGTCAACATTAACAATGTAAAGTAAATGTAGCGCAGTTCTATTAAAATTAACAAATAAGCAAAAGCAAGCTAAAACAATGATATAATTAGTCTCTGTAATCATACGTCAGTAATATCAGCCCAGGAGCACCGAAAAGCTGCAAGTGAGTACAGTACTGGATGTGCCTCACAAAGGAAAATACTCTCCAACAGAAGGGGGAAAGGCTCAGTAGAAAGGTCCTGTCTCATTTAGCCATGCTCTGGATCGCTAAGGGAGAATTCATTATTCCTGATACCAATTACTAACAGAAAATTCTACAGTGTTTTCAGAGGCAGTCCCATGTACATGTTAGACTAATCCAAATGGGAGTTAATTAGTCCATGGCTGGAGTTTTGCACATCCAGATAGAATGAGACTTGGATTAGCAGCTTCAGTTGACAAAACATGCTCCTTACCACCAAAATCACTCAATCGTTTCATAATAGCACTGGAGCTAATATCACACTCATATTGCAAACCTGTAAGGGAATCATATTTTGTCTTTGTCTGGGGTGAGTTTTAGATTTTTAGACCCTACCACTATATTTAACAGATCTTCAGGTTCTCCTGGATTAGGAGTTAAAAAAAATCTTTATTATGGAGTCTCCTAATCCAAAACAAAGTTTTGAACGATGCTTCCATTGTGCCAACATTTCCATTTCCCAAACCCTCAAAAGTATTTCAAGTGTGATACATGGCCATCATAATTTCTGCTGAGATCCCAGTGCTAAGAACAATCACTAGTCTGCCCAGCTACAATCCTGGTAAAAAATTTAAAAAAACTGTTCTGATCCAGAAAATATAATAATTGTTTGCTCACACAGCATTCCAATACAAGAACCTCCATTTTCAAAAAAGCTAATAAAAGTCCAGTGAGAGCACCTTGACCTATCATGGAAAGGCTTGCAACCAAAGGAAAGAAGATATACTATCCTATACTTTCATTTTCAAGTTATTATGGCTTGACGTAGCAAAAGATACTTTTGATCTCAGAATTACAATTCTAATTCTCCAGTATTCAATTGCCTGATATAAAAGCTGTCCTGCCTCTCGCTGACATTGGATTAATAAAGCCAATGGCAACTAAAAAGATCATCCTGCTTCTGCTTTCAAAAATCTGCTATGATAATAGGACAGATCAAGTGAAGGCTGTGGTTTCACTGTAATAGAATGTGGTTTCATTATATTAATTAGTGGCATTTATAATGCTCATCACCTGCAGCTCACAGTACTTTTTTGTGAAGCAGTGATCTCCTCATGTGAGGTTAATGAGATCCAGTTGGGCTACCATACCACATGGTAATTTTTTCATCCCACCAGGATGTGGGCTTCTTGTTATTGTCAATGGAGTTGCTGCTGAAATGTCTGTTTCCTAACATGGAAATACAAATTTAGTAACATACAATAATTACTGAAAGCATGATGCAAGTATGATGAATCCAAAAGTTACTATCTAGTTCTTGCCACTCATATTAGCATAAACATCTCTCTGTCCAATAATAGAGTGGAGGTGGGGTGGGAGTGGGGGTTAAAGAAGTTTCCCTTCTCCCTCCCAGCTTCTGTTCCTCATATGATGCTCCTGCAAAGGTAAATGTCTCAATGTTTTCGTAGATTGGCATGCTGCCAAATCAGTATGTCTGTTGTCAAAAAGAAGATGAGGGTAAAAACAATCTGCTTTTTCTTTTTCATTTCCATTGCTGCAGCCAGAGCTGTATATCAAGTAAGGGGGTTGCTGGCTGGACATTTATAATGGAAATACAGAGAAATCAAAGCCTGTTACCTTCAAAATGGTATTAGAAAATCCTTGCTCCAAGTAGGTGTGAACTTCATGGAACTCTGCTTGGATTGAAATGAGCTGTATTTTTTCAGATTTAGAAACAGTCAGAAGGAAGAACTTGCCGTATTTCCATTTTTCTCAGGTTCATTCACAAATCAGATACTTAACTGCACTAGCGGTTACTAGAAGTGTTTATTGCAAGATGATTGAACAGGCAAGAGCTTATGTTTTCCATGTGAGACTTACTAGAATGGCTCTGTCCCCATTCAAAACAAATGTGATCTTTAACCAAGAGGGTTACCATATTGTTCCAAACCACCATTTTGTTCCCTTTTGATTTTTGTATCAAAGAAATAAAATGATACAGCCAAGAGATGAGCATGGTCCACGTTGTGCTTCTGTTGTTTATTTGAGTAAATGCAAATGTCTATCATTAGCTGGAGATGTTTACTAAAAACTGTGTGGCTGGTAGGTCACTCCCAGTAGAAATGACACAGTGTCCATGAAAACCTGTGATTAAAATCATTGTTCCATAGACACAAACAAGCTACATGGCCCCCCACAGCGTAGCTTCTTTCCCCTTTTATCTACAACATTTGTCAATTACCTCTGATGGTTCATCAGATGCTCAGCCATCGTACTCTAATGATGCAACAAGGAAAACAGGAGAAAGTGGGAAGTTGTAGCTTCATCCTTTGTTCTTTAGTTACTAAACTAAGCCTTCATTATAGTAGCCCAAGTTCTATAAGCTTTCAAAATTTATTGGCTTAAGTGAATACAGAATATGTGGAATTCCATTCCTTTGCTTTGTCCATTTCTCATATTTTTTCCATGCATCTATGGAGCAGATGACTCCTGTTTAAACAATCTGTCACAGTTTATACAATTAAAAAAAAGCTCAGTGAAAGGTACACACAAAAAACACTCAAAATCAAAAATTGTATCAAAATACAATTTTGTAGCCACTATATTACCACCTACCCACAAAATAAATATATAACTTCTTTCCCAACACCAGCTTGTCTTTATCACTTTGGTTCCTTGAAATCTTTCCTCAAGACCCACTTTTCACTTGGAACTGCTGATTCAATCTCCTACACCTCTTTGTAACTTATTACATGGTCTATAACTATCCCAAAGCAGTGTTTGGTGGAGATATCCAGTTCACCCTTGCCTTAACTTTCTTCTCATTTGTCATTTCCTTCATGCTAAATTTTAGACTGTAAATAAACTCTTTGGGAGTTGGGACTAAGGAGTTTTCTTTAAAATCCATGTCCAATGATGGAACAAATCACTAAATAACAACAATAAAAACTGCATTTGGTAAATTGTAGAAAGCTAAAGTAAATGCATGAACCAAATGGTGCTGGATTGTAAAACTGTAAAAACATTAGTACTGGACTTACAGCACTTATCCTATCAATTTATGTAAACCCAATAACCTGGCCTTTTATTCCACATATTCTGCAATCTTCTGCTGATTAGTGGGAAGTTTGTTCCTCAGATGGTGTCTGTTGTCTGAAATCTTGCTTAGAAAAAGAAATGGGTATATTTCATTATATGGAAGTTATCCATATAACTTTAAAAGGTATATGTTTAAAAGTTATCCTTTCTATTTCTGTAATTATAGGATGTTACAGAATAATCAGCTCACTCGGATTCCAGCGGAGGCTCTATGGGATCTTCCTAATCTTCAGTCACTGTAAGTCTTTGTGGATTGCCATTCTGAACTATGGAAACTTTTAAGTAATGGTTTCTGGTTTTTTTTTTTCTGATTTTGGCTTGAAAGAAATAGAAATCCAAACAGTGTTTGCCCTGATTCTTGAGTAGGAAATAAACAGGGATGCAATATTAAATGATCTGTCGGAAAAGTTTGAAGTTGATTTTGATACAAACAATTTTTAAAGTTTTTTGAAGGTTTTCTTTTGCACAAATTCTGCCAGCCTGAGTTCCATACCTAATCTTTATGCAACATATCAGTCATATCATACTCCAAAAATGAATGGAGCCAAGAGCAAGTGAAAAAATGCAAACAAGGGCCAATATTTTTCACTGAGCACAAGCTGGGAAGCTCTGCAAATGCAGATCGAATGCTACTCTCAGGCCACATTCTTCCATCTTGTACTCTAGCATTTTCCTGCATTTTCCTCTCTCCAAGTTTCCACTGCATGTCTTCCCTTGAAGACAATATCAGCTGCTGATCTGGAATTGAAAGGAACTGAAAAACGTTGACAGCATATAAACCAAATGGCTTTGGTTAGCAAAACTCCTCTCACTTTTCTATACATAGAAGTAAGGAAAATATGATCCCATTCATAGCAGTTGTGATATGTTTTATTGGATCCTTTCCCCGTGGGGTAATCCTTGGCTTGATTTTTAAATGCCCTAATTAATTCTTTAATGTCCTGTTCCTGTTTTGACTTTACTATACTTCACCCAATGTCTGTTTGGATTGGGTATGGATGTAAATATTGTACAATCAATAATAAAGTGTAATAATAATTGTAGCAGAATAATTAGCACTATCCAGTTGCTCTTGCTGTCAGGGAGGTGTTTCTTTTTAACATTCAGCTGTCTGGTGGCTCACGCTTCTTCCTGATACCTGTGCAGACTTAAACCTGATCATCATCCCAGTTAGTAGAAAATGCCAGTCCTATTTGTTTTCTCTTCTTGTCCCCCATTTGTTAAGAAGGCCCAAAGTGAGCCCAAATGTTTTTTTCTCTCTCCTGATCTAAATAATGATCAGTTGTCTTGCTAGAAAATCTAGAAATATACTGGCTCCACAACTTATACGCCTCTCTATTTCTGAAGTCTTACAGTATTACTATGAGACAATGAAAAACAAAAATCATTTAATGTAATTATGACCAATAATTTGATGAACCACATTTGGGTAGCATGATTTTTTAGAAAGGTATTGAGGTGGCTCCATTGTTAATGTCTGTTGTCCTCTTAGCCTTTGTGATTCTTAATTTTTTAAACAATAATTGTTTTTATATATTAAGTGTTTATAGTTTTATTGTGCACAACCCAGAGCCACTATTTGATGAGATGGACAGCCATATAAATATGATAAATAAAGTTTCTTTGAAGTTTTTTTATAAACATGGTTAAAATATTCTTCCGATATTTTATCGCAGGCTTTTATTTAATATTGGCAAATTTATGTTCAGAGGCCTCTGGCTATGAATTAGAGATCAAACCCTCTCAAAATATGGTGAAATACTTACTATTATTAGATACTAACTCTGGCCATTTCAGATCAAGCTGATAGTACTGCTTAATCCCTTTATGATTTCTCTATCCGTCTAGAAATAACCTGTAACAACCATGCATAAAAACTTCCTTTAAAATATTCCTCTTCAGTCCTCTGGAATTCCTCTTCAATGTGGTTTTTGTCTTCAGTAGAGGTTAATTAAGCATCATATAGACATTCATCTTTGGGGTGAATAAGCAATCTTTAGAGAGTTGAAAATGATTTTCCTCATGACAGATGCCTTGCATGGTTAAGTCATTATGCAGTGCCACTCACTGTACAATCCCTCCATAATTCCTATTCAAAATAGGTCATTTCATAATTTTCTTTTGTAAACCTTACATGGTTAAAACCACCTATCCAGATTTTGTAATGTTTAATTTTTTTATTCTCTGTAATTTTTAATTCTCTGTAATTTTTCAGTTCTAATTTTTTAAGCTTTAACTGTTGCTAAGGAAGGCTGGTCATGAGGAAATGGAGAGGATTACTTTTTCAGACACTTTGATTCCAAAAGGAAAATAGAACGAGATTTCTTTGCCGGCAGTGTCTTCTTAAAGCAAACCAAGGGATATCCTTACAGATGAAATCCCATTCAGATTTATATACAATCACTTTCAAAACAACTGTGTTTTCATACAAAAGAAATGATTTGAGCTTACTTCCACAAACATGGGTTCTGGATAGCATCCAAGTAAATGAAGCATTTACTTTCTCTCTCAACAATGAGCTACAACGTGTTGGCTAAATTTGAATCTTTAATATTTGTAGTGAGAGAAGACGGCTTAATTTTGTCTGTCAATGTGAATCTGTATGTGGAAAGGAAAAATGATTCCAAGCCAGCACCCAAACAAACTATGGGTGGTGTCATCTGTGCTTCCACTTCATCTGCCATTATAGGGGGCATCCTTTGGTGTAGCCAGCTGCAGTGGCCATGGAGTGAGTTTAAAATTCATATGAAAATACCAGCATAGTTATGCTTAGCTTTGGGTTGATAAAATAAAACTACATGCTATATATATATTGAAATTACGTGCAGTAAGAGAAAAAAAGAGGGATTTAATTTTTCCTTACAAAGAATTGGATTATCCTGATTTTCTGTTGTATTACGGCAATATTGTCCCTATAAGTAAAACAGTGCACCCTGATCTAGATCAAAAATCTGTTGACCAGCCTTTTTCCTGTTTTTTTCAGTAGAAGAATCAGGTGTCAAATTACAGTAGTCCTCGACTTACAACAATTCATTTACTGACCATTCAAAGTTACATTGGCACTGAAAAAAGGGACTTATGACTATTTTTTACACTTATGACCACTGCAGCATCCCCATGTCACATGGCCAAAATTCAGAAGCTTGGCAACTGGTTCATATTTATGATGGTTGCAAGGTCCCAATGTCAGGTGATCACCTTTTTGTGACCTTCTGGCAAGCAAAGTCAATGGGGAAGCCAGATTCTCTTAACAATCATTTCACCAACTTAACAACTTCACTTAACAACTGTGGCAAGAAAGGTTGTAAACTGGGGCAAAATTCACTTAGCAAATGTCTCACTTAGCATCAGAAATTTTGGGCTCAATTGTAAGTAAGTCAAGGACTACCTGTACCAACTCTGGCTGAAGCTAATCTATCTGCTGCAAATGATATGGAACTCCATCCCTCTTTTTGTGAGATCTGTGCACTCTGGCACTCTTAGAATAAAAAATGGGTTTTACTTTGAATTTTCTTCTGTATGTTATGTCAAAATGGGGAAGAAAACATATCAATAAACATCATTTTTATAATCCTTTTTTGTAACATCTGGAGACAAAAGCATGCAATACTTAGGGTCATAATTAGCTTCAGATGATATATCTGTGATCTCATGGAGTCTTACTTTGGGGTATCTCTGGGCAACTACAGTTCTCTCTGCCATCACTCAAATGATACAAGCCACCAAGCTGCCAAAGTTACAGTGGCTGCAGCTACTAATGGCCTATATTACATACTCTTCCACTTTCATCTCTAGTAGACATTTGGAGGCAAAGTGGAGGCAATTTTACTACAAATCAGCCTCAGATCTACTGTATTTCACTTGATTAAAAATGAACCAGATACTCTTTTCTTTGTTGTACCCTGACATAAAGGAAGAACTACTGTCTTCTTGAGCATCCCTCAACGGTGACAATTTTCTTCCTAAAGCCAGATTTAATAGGGGGAAAAAAACTCTCTTTGGAGTGTTCCCAGCCCTTATTAAGTCCCATTAGACCAGTGCTTATTAGGATAAATTAGGTTTTATGTGAAAGAGATGAAAAGTTGTTGAGTAAATGGTTTTCCTCTTAGCAGGCTGCTTTGTGAATTAAGGCATATCTCAAGCCAAGCTGATTTCCTCAGATTTCATAGGGGCTGCCAAATAGCTTTTTATTCAGAATTGGTCTTATGCCAAATATCTGTCTGTTATTTCTATCTCTTCTTCTTGAGGATGGTCATTCATTGCAAAAGAAAATCAGATCTGAATTTAAGACTTTTCTTCTTTTAGTATTTATGAGTAATTTTCCACAAGTCTCACACACACATACAGTCTATCTCTCTCCAACGTGGAACTTTCATATATATCACTGTAGAGTGACTTTCAAACATTATAAGTCCAATCCCATTTACCAAGGTTTTGCTTTTTGTACTTTCCTGAAGTTAGGACCCTGGCATGTAATTTTGTAGAATACTACTCAAAAACCAGGAAATATTCCAGAAAGCATTCTACACTAGATGCTGGAATGGAAGTTTACAAATTGAGTGCAGGACAGGTTGAAATGTTGTTATAGCATGTTTCCATAATGTTTGTATGTCTATAATTTGGAGGAAGAAAACACCTTCTCAAAAACATATTATGATGCCATTATTATCAGTGTCAGACTTCTCAAACAATAAAACTTTTTACGACCCTGTAATCCCTTAATTTGGGATAGAATCAGGGCGATTGGATGGAGCTCAGTGTTCAGAAAATCAAGACTGAAAACAAAGGAGAAGGAGCAGTCTTTCTGGATTCTGGATTAATAAGATTTATTAAGACAAAGGTCAAGGTGATCCCACAAGAATGCCAATGGGTACACGCAGTATGCTTTCAAGTATAAGCCTTTTATAAATAGGCAATTCAAAACTGTTCCTTTTTTGCTTGCTTTTTTCCACCCTATTTTTGAGAAGAGCTTGTCTTTTCAGAGAAGGTTCGTTAGCCTGGCCTGCACCTGGGCATTGTTTACACACCTGCTACTAGCCTTCTTATCGGGGTAAGAATCTACATTAACATTCAGAAGACCAGCAAGAAAGCAATAAAATCTGCTACACATTTGAGGCATGACAATTGCACACAACTTGTCCACAATCCAAGGTTACAGCTTACATATTTTAGCTTGGACGTACAATGTATAACGAATTAGATTGTCTAGATTCAAAATAGGGTAACTTTATTGGGTTT